GCTGGGATTACAAGCATGAGCCACCACACCCAGTTGCAAAAAGTGTGAAGTTTTAAAATCATACGAAGTTTCTATGTTCAATTATTAAAAGTTTTAATTGATTTCTTTTAGTGTGTTACAGCCAGATACATTTCTGAAAATCCAATAAAAATATACAGAATAATGTCACATTTGAGATGGTTTTACAGTTTACTAATTTTAGGAGCTATATATTTACTAAATTTCTGTTTGTGATAATGAAACAAAATAACCAGGGTCAATTTTAAAAGAAACATTTGTTATCTCCACCTCTTGCTTTATTGCAGGTGAATGGAGCCTACGTATGCTCACATATTTATACAAATCTAGTGAACTTAACAAGGGATCTTGCATGAATCAAAAGAACGACACATATGTTTTCTTTTCATGTGATCTCATATTCTATTTGCCCCAGAGCGGTAGATCAATAGTTATGTGCTCAGAAAGTGCTTTTCAAGAGTGTTGTGGAGTATAAAAAACACAGAGAAATCAATTTCGTTTTCCCATCTCAGGAGACTCAGTGCCCTTTTGTGTGGCTCATGGCAACAGTAATCTGAACTTTTAAATCTACATGCTCTAAACTCGGAACATTTGGAAGTAAATAGTAACATATTCAGAATGATTGAAACTGCTTTATTTGTCATCATTACCATGGTTACTAATAAATTATGAAGCTCCCATATGTGAAACTGCCGAAATGAGCATTTTATGAAGCAATTTACCCATATATGAAGGCTCTGGAAACTTACTACTTAAAATTTGTGCATTAAGACAAGCACTATATTTGTACAAGACTTTGAAAAGTATAAGAAAATATAGTATGTTGAGTGGCAAGAATCCTAGTATCTAGTTCTGTTTTCCATTTATTTTACTGAGATCTCCATCAAACTATTTAGCAATGAGTTTGTTACAGTATGTAACCAATATAAATAAGATTTATGAATCAAAAAACAGAAAGAATTGCAAATTATATCCAAGATCATCTTCTTTGATTAAACAAAAAATAGATAATATAATCGAAATGAGAAAATTAATACACGTATTAGAAAATATAAAGAGAACATAGCAACAAAAGTAGATATTTTGTGGGAAATATTCTATAAAGTCCATGAGAATACTAGAAAATCTTAACAGAATATTTTCTTGGAAATTGTGAACAGCCGAAATGGACTCAGAAAGAGGTATAAAACCGGAAATAAATGATCATGTAAGAAGTTAAAAATTTTTGAAGAACTCTTCCTCTAAAACACACATGGTCCAGATTCTTCATCTGTGAACTCTTTATTTCTTATACATTATACGTATTTCTAAACATAGACAATGTTAGAAATCTTTCTGTATCATTTTCAAGATGGTAAAGGCTAGGGAAAAAAAAAAACCTTCAAGAATCAGCACTTGAAAAGGAACCTATGTGATATTCTTTTAAGAAAATAGGTTTAAAAACCATAGGGGAAAAACCAGGAATTAATTCCAGCAGCATGCTAAAAATAAATTTTTAAAATGTTTTATCTAAGAATTGAATCAATGTGAGAAATATATTAATGTAGTACACCAAATGGTAAAAATTTTAATAGTGTAAAGGCAGTTGATAAAATGCAACACCAATTACTGAGGAAAATAATTTTTTGTAATTGTAAATATAATGCTTTTAGCACATGACACATCATTTTTAAAGCCACTTGCCAGATTCCATGGAGTAGCAGCATTCCCATTAGAGTAAAGAAGACGACAATGGTGCATCTTATTCCCATCATTATATTACTTTGTTCTGATAGTGCCACTGCAATGAGAAAAAACAACATCCCACAAGAACATATAAAGAGATCCAAGGCTAAGGAAGGCACATTCTAACTATGAAAATATATTAGCATTGGTCATCCATTCTGGTAGTAGTATGGATGTTTTCTACTTTTTTTTTGCTTCTCTAAATTGTCTATACAGAATTTCTATTGCTTTTTTCAATCACTTTTAAAATGAGAAAACAAATATTGAGAAATCATAATGAAATAAGAAGAGATTATCTTCCCTTTTCAGATGAATGGCTTACATTGACTAAAACTCAATATTTCACTGTCTTCGATTCTAGTTACATTGATGACTAAAAGGTTGTGAAGAAATTTGTCACTTTTAAGAAATGCAAAACTAAAGGAAAGCTGAAGCAGACTTCTATGTTTCTACTCTAGCAGCTGAGGCAGGAGGGTTGCTTGAGCCCAGGAGATTGAGGCTGCGCTGACCTAAGATGGTGCCACTGCACTCCAGCCTGGGCGTCACAGCAAGATCCTGTCTCTATAAAAACAACAATAACAAACAACAACAAAACACAGTAAGTTCAACGAAGATGACAAAGCTGCATAATAGCATGACCCCAGTTTTGTTTTTAAGAAGAAATGTACATATATTTACACACAAAAGAAAGCACAAGGAAGAAAGGTATATTCCAAATATTTAGAAAACATTAACATTGGTCATTCGTTGACACTGGTGGAATTACAGGTGATTTCTACTTTTCTCCTTGTGCTTCTTTGTATTTTCTAAAAAGAATTTCTATTGCTGTTTTAAAAAAGATGATGCAACAAACATTGAGAAACCATCATTCAGAAGAGATTGTCTTCTCAAATGAATGACTTACACTAAGACTCAGTGTTCTATTGTCTTCAACCCTAGTTACATAGATGACTAAGTAAAAGCCAAAGAAAGCCACTTGATACTTTTATGAAGTGTAAGGCTAAAGGAAAACTGAAGCAGATTTCTTATTTCTCATTTATTTGTTTATTTTTGAGATGGAGTCTTGCTCTGTTGCCCTGGCTGGAGTGCAGTGGTGCAATCTCGGCTCACTGCAGCCTCCGCCTCCCGGGTTCAAGCAGTTCTCTGCCTCAGCCTCCCAAGTAGCTGGGACTACAGGCGCCTGCCACCACACCCGGCTGATTATTTGTACTTTTAGTAGAGACGGGATTTCACCATCTTGGCCAGGCTGGTCTTGAACTCCTGACCTCATGATCCACCTGCGTTGGCCTCCCAAAGTGCTGGGATTACAGTTGTGAGCCACTGTGCCTGGCCGCTGAAGTAGATTTCTATGTCCTTAGCATATCTTTCTTCCTTGATGTAAGTAAAATGCTTTGTTATAATCTCTATGTGTATTGACTTTTCCTTCCCATGATGACTTTATCTAGTTTAACATTTCCCAAGATGACTTCATCTAGTCTAGTTTTATTTTTTTCAGATGTTAGCTAGGTGAGCTCTTCCTTCTGGAAATTTCCACTGCACCTAATACAGTGACATTTCTAGGATGGCTGCACTAAGTTGTGGCTGCCTCTCCTTTTAGTACAGCTTTTCCTGACTCCGTGTCCTTGAAACCAAGGTGAAAGAGATGAGAAAAAGCTCCCTCAGCTGGATTTAGCTGACGGACATGGGTCCTTTACAATAAAATACCACCCTTACAAGGAAGGAGAAATGATGTGTTTCTCAAAGTGCTGCAGAAGTCTCATTGTTGATATTTTCCTCATTGTTGCTTTGGAAATTCAATGTTTCTATTTAACACCAGGGTCACCCAATCTAATTCTGCCATTCATGATTTTCGAGGAACGGGGTGGAATTTGGGGACTGAATTTATGAAGAGCAGACACACGCGTGAGAGACGGAACCGCCCTGACATCAGCCTCTGGGTGGGGCATTGATTGGCACCTGTGGAATGCCCACCGGGGAAAGATTCTTTTACACTCATTATCTTAATTCTCAGAGCATCTCTGAGGTTTTGTTGCAACTTCAGGGTTCTTTTTTAACTTTTATTTTAGGTTCAGGGTACACGTGCCAGTGTGTTATACAGGTAAATTGGTGTTACATGAGTTTGGCGTACAGATTTTGTCATCCAGATAATAAGCATAGTAAATTCGATAGGTAGTTTTTCGAGCCTCTCCCTCCTCCCACCCTCTACCCTCAAGTAGATCCCTGTGTCTGTCGTTCCCTTCTTTGTGTCCATGTGTACTCAATGTTTAGCTCCACTTATCAGTGAGACTATGTGTATTTTGGTCAATTCCAGTTTTGACCAATGATGACCCAGAGACGCAGAGCAGTTGGGTATGGTGGGACAGGGTCAAGTGTAAGTCAACCCAGCTGGTAAGTCCCCACCCACTCATCCCATTGCTGCCAGTGACTTCAACGCTGGCCTCAGTTCCCTCCCATGTGAGATGTGATAACAACAATTGTGAGTGTCTGAGGATTAGAGAAACAACCCAGTGAAGGTACTTCAGAGTGGGTAACTTTTAATTACTGTTGTATTGCTGTACTGACCAATGTAGTCAGTAGCCACTTGTGCTACTTAATTAATTAAACAAAAATTCCATTTCTCAGCAACACTAGCTTCATTTCCGGTGCTCAGTGGCCTCCTACCTCTACTAGCTACCATATTGGATAGCACAGATACAGAACATTCCCATCGCACCAGAATGTCCTTGGACAGTGCTGCTGTGTATCATTAACTTTGATTTAATTCAAGTGCCAGAACTCAGGGGTAAACACAATCATTCCCTATGTGTGAATGTGCAGGTACGTGTGCAGTTTTGTTAAAAACAGGTAAATTGTGTGTCACATGAGTTTGGCGTACAGATTTTTGTCATCCAGATAATAAGCATAGTATTCGATAGGTCCGTTTTTCGATCCTCTCCTTCCTCTCACCCTCTACTCTCAAGTAGGTAAGAGGAAGCTCCGAAGCTCTCCTGGGATGTTCACCCGCTGTGGTGAGAGTCAGGTGAGGCCCTTCACGGAAGGGCACCCTTTGTTTACCGGAGAGAAAGGAGTCACGTTTGTTTCCTGAATGAAGATAGTCTGTCTATGAACCAGGTATCCTAGCCCCGAAAAGGTGGAAAGTGCATGCCAAGAAAACCCCTAGACAGGACTCCATTCTTCCCATGAGGCCCCTAACCAGAGAATCGCAGAAGGGGTCGGGGAGGATTCCAACTGTGAGTCAGCAGAGGAGACATTCTTTTGAGGTAGAGTCAGGGTGGGGAAAACCATTAATCTGTTTTCCAAACAAGTTTTCATAAATAACTGACAGGAGATGGGCTGTTTTTATGGAAGTATTAACCCAAATGATGGGTGTTAATCATTAAACCTTTTAGGTGGTGGCTCGCTTGTTTCTCTGATATTCTAATCCGGGTCACAGAATGGCTAAGGCAGATTTAAGTGCAGCGTGGATTTTTTTTTTTCTCACTTTGCCTTGTGTTTTCCACCCTGAAAGAATGTTGTGGCTGCTCTTTTTTCTGGTGACTGCTATTCATGCTGAACTCTGTCAACCAGGTATGTAGCCTTGAAACTTAAAAATAGATGAACAGTTTTCTACATGTTTGACAAGTCGTTGACTGAAAGAACTCTTTATTTTTCTAAATCTGCAGACATGTTGTGGCTTGAAAGTTGGGGTGGTGAGTGTTTAATGAGTTTGAAAGAAAATATTAAACCGTCTAAGATGATTTAGGTTAAACTTCCAGGAGTATTTGGGGCAGTTTAATTGTAGTTCTGTGTTCCATTAGTTTGAGTTGCATTACATATTAGGATTTTTCAGACTCTGTTTTGGCAGATCTTAATCATCATATACTGCTCTTTCTTTTTCTTTCTGGCAGGTGCAGCAAATGCTTTTAAAGTGAGACTTAGTATCAGAACAGCTCTGGGAAATAAAGCAGTAAGTGGAGCACCTGAGTGTTCTTTTAAAATTTTGTTTGCTAATAACACTGTGCTTTCTCTAATAATGGGCCTGTCTGCATGGTTACCTTAATCTTGAATAAATTATTTCTAAAGACCTCAAATCTGATCTTCTCTTAAAGATAGATTATAGAATAATATGAATTTTTAATAAAGTAGGTTCGCCTAAAGTATTTAATCGGTGGTGTATGCTAGACAATATGTGAAGTTTTGTGCCACACAAAACAACTTAAAAAACCGGCATCTCAACTCGGGATAGTGAAGCCAAGTGGCCTGACTCAGTCGCTCAGGTCTAGACTGGGTCTACTCCTCACCGTTGTGGTCATTTGAATTTTGTTAGCCTCGATTTTGTACTCATTGAAAAGAAGGGATGGTTCTACCCACATAAAGTCTTTCATAGCACAACAAATTTCCAATTCGAACATGAAGTTTCTTCAATTATTCTCAATTATCAAAGTAACATATGAAATATATGCTTATGAAATAGAAGTTTAAAAACTAGTCATAGGGCCCATGTGGCTATAGGAATGGTGAAGATCATTGAATTAAAAAGACAGTATTGTCTAATTCTAGTTTCAGTTTCCCAGTGTGGTCTGCAAAATTTTTTCCCCAATAGAAGTTGGTGTTAAGATGTCTCAGGCTGGAAACAGAAAAAAGAGTGCTAAAGAAACTTAGAGGTATTCTGTTTGCAGGCCAATTCATCAATTTGTTATTTTATTATTTACTCAATGGGTAATGATTGTTGTAACAGCCAGCATTTATTGAGAACTTATCTTACTTTCCAGCTGGGGCTCTTCTAAGCACCTTACTCCTATCAAATCATGTAGCCCTCACAACAATGCTTTGAGGAAGGTAGTAGTACAGGTGTTCGTATTCCCACTGAATGGATGGGAAAACTGAGGTTCAAAGAAATTAAGTAACATGCTCAATATTTCAAGTCATCAAGTGGCAGAAGTAAGATTTGAGCCCAGGCAGTCTGAGTGCAGAGTACACTGTCTCTACTAGTGTGCATGGTTGGCCATCCCAGTATCCTCTAATAGCAGGTACCATGCTGAATGCTGGGATGTAATGGTGATTAAGGCTTGACTTTACCCTTGTGGAGCTTACAGTAGTAGTAGAATTGGTAATCTATTAAATATTCAGTAAACCAAATGCAAATGTGCAATCTTGACAAGTATTACGGGAAGAATTACAAGGGCACTTCGGCTTTGTCAAGGGCCACAATACCTGGCACTTACTGTGACGTCTGAAGCATGAGTTGAAGTGAACCAGGAAATGAAAGAAGGAAAGGCAGAGGGAACAGCATGTGCAAAGGTTTATCCCAGGAAGGATCTTGGTGAGAGTAAAGGTTAGAAAGAGGGCAGAAATATCTGGAATTGGGGCAATGAGGAGGAACGTGGCAGGTGATGAGCTTAGAGAGAGAGGAGCGGGAAGGCCAAGGAATATGTGGGCTGTGTAGGGAGTTTCGTTTTGAGATGTAGGGAGTGTTCAAGAGCATCAAATGCTGTTGAAAGGCCAAGCCAGAAAGCGACTGAAAAATGCTGATTGTGTTAGACAACATGGAGGTCAATGGTGATTTTAGAAAGAGCTCTTTTCATGGGGTGGAGTTGCTGGAAGACAGGTAGTGGGAAGTTAAAAAATAAATGAGTGGTGAACATGTTGAAACAGATGTGTGGACAACTCCTGGGAGAATTTTGGCTGTGAAGGGCAAGAACGAGACAGCAGTAGGTAGAAGAAAGGAAGACTGAGTAAAGTGGTTTGTTTTTGCTGTCGCTTTAATGGGAAAGTGTTGAGCTTGTTTAAAAGACAATGAAGAGACTCCAGTCAGAGTTAAATACACAAAAAGGAGGGGAACTGATATTGTTTAGATCTGAGAAGGGCAAAGGAGAAGCATTCCTAATATAAGTGACGGAAATGGCCACTGATAGGCATAGTTCTGTCTGGCACTTCAGGAGAGGAGGCGGCTAAGACATGTGTCTATGGAGGAAGTGTTGTATCTTGATGTCAGGAGGATGGGAGAGTTGAAATTGATGAGATATATCTATAAATTATGAAGCAAAACCATTTAATGAGAGTGAGGTTTGAGGGAAAACTTTGGAAAAAATGGTAAAAAAAAAAAAACCAAAAAACGTTGACCATCAGTTCTCTCTCTAGAGAGAGGTTTGAAATAGTTAATGTGACCCAGGAGAAAGAGAACTGGTGGTGAAACCTTAGGGATTACCAGGCAATTTGGGGGTAGGTCATCATGAATTTAGAGTTAAACCAGCTAACCTTGTTTTGTAATTTTCTCTAGTTATGCCAATAACTTACCTAAAATGTGGGGTTAGCCATGGTTTGAGTGTTCTTAGATGTGTGCAAAAAGCAAGGTGAGCTGGGACATTTAAGGTCCTGACACATGTTATTGAAATGAAGAACCAAGGAATCTGAACTGGTAGATAAATATATGCAATTAACTTGTACCACTTGGTCTGTGAAGCCACATGTGGGATATAAAGATGTGTTCAATTTCACATTGAGCACCTATTATGTGTCAAGTATATGCACAACAGGTAGGTAAGCTGCTATGGACATTCTTATATATGTATTTTCCATATGCTTTCTTTTTTGGGAGTATTTACCCAGGAGTAGATTAATGCATCATAAAGTACACAAATGTTTAGCCTTAGTAACTCTTACCTTATCCTCTCTTAAGTTGTACATTTTCTCATTAGTATATGTGCCCAATTCCTTTTATAAATGGAAGCTGTCTCTTTGAAGTATTTGAATGCCCTAGGAGAAATACACTACATCCAGTGCACAAGCTTTCAATCCTTTCACACTTGCCCAAGATAAGTTGGTTCCACTGGCAGGATACCCAACCCAATCTAGAACTGCATCAGTCCTGTTCTGATCTAAATAGCCTGGAGCTTTGTTCTGTGACCAAAATTGGACTCCTACCCAGCCAGCTTAAGCTCTTGTTTTTGAGACGGACAAATGGAAGAACAGGAGATCAGGTCAAGCTGTTGCCAAGATCTGAAAAGCAACTGAAATTCATGTCCCAGGGAGAACTGGCTAACATCTTTGTTTTCATTTTCTGCACTGAGCTTATTATTCTCGTTTGTTCTTGAGCAGGCTTATTCCTCGTGTCTGCATTCTCTTAATAAGCCTTCCCTGTCTGAATAGTGTTTCTGCACTATTTTTAATCAGATCCATTTCTTCTTCATGTTTTATTCATTTATTATTAGGTTAGATCATAGCTACTCTTATTCTGAATAAAATTAATTTTGGAAACAAATGCATTATCAAAAACAAAGAGCTATGCCATGAATCAGTTACTTTTAAACTTTCGTAGTATAATATCAAATGAAAAGTTCACATTGAAAGATTGAAGGAGCACTTCAAATAAGACCTAAAGTTGACATTAAAATGCAGTATTTAACATTTGCATGTGAGAAAAGTGATTTTTCCATTTCCATTTTCTGTTGTTGTTGTTGTTGGAGACAGGGTCTCACTCTGTCATCCAGGTTGGAGTGCGGTGGCATGATCTTGGCTCACTGCAACCTCCACTTCCCAGGTTCAAGCAATCTTCCTGCCTTAGCCTCCTGAGTAGCTGGGACCACAGGCACATGCCACCACGCCCAGCTAATTTTTTTTTTTTGGTAGAGATGGGGTTTCACTATGTTGCCCAGGCTAGTCTTGAGCTCCTGGGCTCAAGTGATCCACCCATCTTGACCTTCCAAAGTGTTACAGGCTTGAGCTCCACTCCTGTCCCCCTTTTCTGTTCTTTATGGTAGCATCTTACAGCAGAGTTACATAAAGTGGTACTGAAGGAGAAAACGGTGAAGTGGAAGAAGCAACTGAAGAAAGTTTAAGGTTCTATGTTACAGAGACCAAGGCAGGAGGATCACTTAAGGCCACACATTTGAGACCAGCCTGGACAACACAGCAAGACCCCATCCCTCCTCCTTTCCAAAAAAAGAATATGTTATGAAAATATTTAGGAGAAAGGAAAAAGTACAGCACAGTCATAAACCTTATCCAGAGAAGGTAACTGAGTAATACATTTTTTGTTGTTGTTATTTAGGAGTCATTTGTTTTTACTTACTATCCTCACTGCCACCAAAGAGGAGAAAGGCAGTAACAGAAAAATATGTTTCCCCATCCCAGAGTGAAACTCCAATCCTGACAATGTCCTTGTGATATACTAACCCCCACCATCACCAAGTTCTTCCCCTCAGCTTTTGCCACTTTCTCCCTTCCTGCTTCTGCTTTAGTTGCTACCTTCCTTGGTGGTCCTTAAACAGCTCAGTTTTTTTTTTTTTTTTTTTTGCCTCAGGCTTTTTGCATTTGCTGCATTAAGGAGCAGAGTGAGTCAAATATACTATATTAATTTGCTAGGGTTGCCATAACAGAGTAACACAGACTGGGTGCCTTACACAACAGAAGTTTATTTTCTCTCAGTTCTGGAAGTCAAGATGTCACAGGATTGGTTCCTTCTGAGGGCTGTGAGGGAAGGATCTGTTCCAGGCCTCTCTCTTTGGCCTGTATGTAGATGGCCGTCTTCTCTCTGTGTCTTCATATCATCTTCCCTCTGTGTCCAAATTTCCTCTTCTGAGGACACCAGTCATAGTGGATTAGGGCCCACTCCAACAACTTCATTTTAACTTAATCACCACTGCAAAGACCCTGTCTCCAAATAGAGTTACATTCTGAGGTATTGCAAGTTAGGACTTCAACATGACATTTTTTTGGTGAGGACAAAATTCAGCCCATAATATGCACACACATTCAAGTTTCTGGCTAAGAAAATTTTTTAAAAATTGTACTGATGTTAATAAAGGCAACTGGGAGGGAGTTTATGAGGGAAAAGAGAAAGGGAGGAAGGAAATGAAAATGGACTATATATGGCCAGGATGAAATGTCCAAATGCCCTGTTTGTTGGCTGGCTACTGATGCTGCAGGTTCTTAGGAAGATAGTGCAACAGCAGATACACCAAACTTAGAATGTCCAAGAAACCCTACCCCAAACATTATGGGGATATAATTTATCATGGTCTCCACTATGTAATGTATGAGAAAGCAGGGTGTGTGTGTGTGTGTGTGTGTAGAGAGAGCGAGAGGGAGGGAGAACCACTGTGGGTACAGTTAGAACCAATGGACCATATTTACCCCCATACACTTTGTTTTCCTTCTCTTTCAGTATGCCTGGGATACCAGTGAAGAATATCTCTTCAAAGCGATGGTAGCTTTCTCCATGAGAAAAGTTCCCAACAGAGAAGCAACAGAGTAAGCAAATAATGAGAAATCTTAACTGATTATTTACAGTATTATTTGAGATAGTGCATTATTTCAAACCTTGATCTTGAAAATATTAAGCTAATTTTTCGAAGAGATTCACATTTTTACTAAACTTAAAAATAACTTTTATAATCTAACTCATTTTATAGTTTATATCATGTTCCAACAATGCTCTTTGTTTAATAGGTAATATGAAGATAAATATCCCTCAAAATTGCAGGTATATATCCTAAGCTTTCTACATTTCTGTTGTGTGTGTGTATATACATATATGTATATATAATTTTTCTTGCAGATAGATACCAAAGAATTTTACTCTTATTTTGAAAATAACCTAAGTGTGTATAAGTTCTTTCTACTCTTGGTATTTATCATAGTACCTTGTTTATTATCTTAAAAGCACTTAATATGACTTTTAATAATTTTATATTTTTGTCTATTCTTCTGGAGGAATCTTCTCTATGATGTTTCCTTCTTTTTCTATTTGTGGTGAGGGTAACATTCCTGGTCTGTCTCTATTCCCTTCTTCACTCCTCCCCTTGAGAGGTAAATTGACTTATGTGATTGGTGAGCTGCAAGGAGAACCTGGGCATGGATTCCTTTCTCCTTATGAGGTAGCCATCCCCAAATGATAGCAGGCATCTCTCGTACAACTCCCTAGCTAAGTACAGAACCAGGCCCTGCATGCACAGGTACATACACCCTAAGGCTGTACTTGCGGTTTGCAGCTGAGGAGCGTTTAGATTAGTAGGTGCCATGTTATTTGGGGGGTTAAATATTGTGTGTATTACTCCAGTACAGGACAATACCTGCCTCAGTTATGCTCTACTTGAGACAATGGAGGTGAATATATTTATTTCAGGATTTTTTTTAAATTAGGAAGAAAATTTGCCTGCTGATTAAAGTCATATCCTCCAAACTAGCCTTTTATTTTGGTCTCCCATCTGTACAATGTTTTGTCTTCATTCTATAATAATTCAAGGCCCAGTATAGATGATTACTATTAATTGGTCTCCCTCACATCCATAATATCTGATGCATGGGATATGAATATAAAGAATGAAACAGAAGAGTGGAGTTTGAGGGAGCAAAATGAACACATACATATTTGTGTATACTCACATGTGTATTTTTAATATACATATTTTAAATAACAACATGATTTAAAAAATGAAAAGAAGGTATATAATAAAACAAAGCCTCGCCCTAAGTTCTACTCCTGTTTTATAGATCTTAAAATTATATATATTGTACTTCATGCCATTAAACTGCAGCATTCTTTCACAACTATTTATAATAACTTTTTTCAATAAAAATAAGGTGATTACATTACAAAAAATTGAACAGAGAAAAAAATAAGAAGAAAAGCCACTGGTTATCTCACAATGGTAACCCCTTAAATATTCTCTTTATATTTTCTTCTAGCCCTTCTTGTAAGCAAGTTTTATACATTGCTGTGTTCATGGCACTGTTAGTTCCTTTAAATGATCACGTTTCACCTAGTACATGACTAAGTTAAATTAAGTGTTTCCATTCTTAGAAAAATTTAATTTAAATATATAACATTTCAGATTGGTTCTTGGGAGTTTACCTTTAAAATATCTTCCTTCAGAATCTGGAGCATTGTAGGAGTCTGTGAATATCTGATCTAGTTTATTTGAAAGGTTGTTTGACTTACAACTGGGCACTGGGGCTGGGTGCAGTGGCTCACACCTCCAATCCCAAAACTTTGGGAGGCCGAGGCAGGTAGATCACTTGAGCCCAGGAGTTCGAAACCAGCCTGGGCAACATGGGCAACCTGGTGAAACCTCGTCTCTACAAAAAAATGCAAAAATTAGCTGGGCATGGTGGCACACACCTATAGTCCCAGCTACTTGGGAGACTGAGATCACTTGAGCACAGGAGTTTGAGGCTGTGGTGAACTATGATGGTGCCACTGCACTCCAGCCTGGGCGACAGAGTGAGACTCTGTCTCAAAAAAAAAAAAAAAAAGAAAAGAAAAGAATTGGGTACACTGGATACATATTGGGTTGGTGCAAAAGTAATTGTGGTTTTTGCCATTGAAAGTAGTGGCACCTTCAACAAAAGTAGAAGCTTTTGTTGCCAGTGTCAGTTGTAAAAATCAAAACTGCAAAGCTAGACTGAGGATCAGTACACATTTTTCTGTAAAGAGTCAGGCAGTATGAGTCCTGGTGATACTGCTATCAAGGGGATGAATTGACAAGCGAGATGTGTTTAAGATGCAATTCAGCTGCTGGCCTGGATTCCACATGCACTGCCATATTGGAAGCTGCACCCCTACATGAAGAGCTATGGGAAAGGGCACCACATAATGCAAGATTGGATTGAAAATAGCTTTGCGGAGAGGCTGCTTCTCTTCAATGTGGCAGGTGGATGGAAGACACCAGTAGCTTGGCATATGGATTAAGTTTTAAAGCCGCCTTCCAGAAATCTTTTGGTGCCATTGTGGGCAGACTGAAGGAGTGTGGCAAATATTCCTTTCCAGGATAGCTTCAGGATCCAAGTTTTGGGAACTGGCTGTTTATTGTCTCCCCTGCCCACCATTGTTTATCCACTAATATTGCAGAAAACTGTAAAGTACAAAGAATAAACCAAATCACATGAATTAAAAACAAAGATATTCAAGTAATTAACAGAATAATGAATAGTCTCACTTTCATCCCACCTTTTACCCAGGGCGATATCTACAACATCTCTTATATCAAGTTTGATCACCACCAATGATACAAAGCTCATTGTCTCCTGAGCATGCCTCTTCCTATTTGGAAACATACAATTGGCATACACTTACAGTAGAAGCTTGCTTGGCTCTGAAAAAGGAAGTGATGTCTTGTTGGAGAGCTGATCTGGTCCAGTTACCATTACCGCAGGCAGGCAGTGGAAGAGAAGCCAGGGATTCCCTAAGAGGATCGGAGAGGATTAGGGTGTGGGCTTGCAGAGAGGGCTATGGCATTTCCTCTCCCTTAGGACTTGAACAGGGCTGGGAATGGGTTCCTGTGCAGATTCCCCAGTGCAGCCACCCAGGATATTGACAAGTGAGTTCATGCTGATGAGTTGGTCCCCATTCCTTACGAGTGATGATGTGTTTGGAGTGATATTCTTGTTTGCATCCCTGCCTACCTCAAGTCAGGTAGAGAAGTGCTCATAGAGGATACAGTTGTCTTTAAGAAGGGAGACTGGCATATTTTTTTCTGGAGGGATGCTCCCCAACTTACAGACATTCTCAGGACCCCCTCAAGTTGCCACTACAGTAGCAGTAGCTGGAGTTCTAGAGAATATGATGGTGTCCCTAGCAACTGAGAGTGTGCCTGGAACAGAAACTGGTGGCTACCTCTTAGCCGGAGAAGTCTCATGGTGGAAGGCTGGCTTGAGCGCCTGTAACTGGGGAGAGAAAGAGAGCAGTTTTCTGAGCAGTCTGTACTTGAATATATTCCTGGGGCCAAGCAGGGGCTTTGGAAGGGAACAGGATAGAGTCACTGCCTATTGGGCCCATGTCCTTAAGTGAGACAGGGCAAGGCAAGGCAGCAGAGTGAGGCTGGAGGCGTACACCCCTGGAGGCAGAGCTGAGATGGGGTGGAGGAAGTTGGTCAGAGCATGTCAGCCATGTCAGGGGAAGATGCAGTGCAGAGGTCCCGGGAGGGGCCCCCGAAGGCTCCACAGGAGCATTCTGAGTGGAGAGCATCTGGACGCCCACCACCACAGAGGACCCCTCACAGCAGGGGGAACCACAAGGGCCCTGGTCCAGGAAGAAGAATTTGGCCTTTCCTTATCTATCTCATGCCCCCATCATCTTGCTTTCCTGTCCCTAAGGGAGGAGAATGAAGCATGGGGGAGGGGAACACAGGCAGGGAGGGAGTGGAGCCCGGAGCAAATGGCGGGAGCCTGCCACCCAGGTGCCTGCTCTGGCCAGAACTGCTGGAAGGAGAGCAGCTGTAGGTGAGAGGCAGGAGGGCAGCTTTGGTTAGACTGGCCTGGATGCCTCAGTAGCCGGAAGTGACAGGAAAGCCACACCATCTGCCCCAGATGCTGTCAAGAGGCGAGGAAGAAGGAGTGACAGAGTGCCCAAAAGGAACAGTGTGAGCAACATCAACCTCTTCCTTCACTGCTGTCCACGAGGCCAGCCTGTAGAACTATGTTGCTGTGGCTGGAGCCACAGGATCAAGTGACCTCTACTGAAAGCCTGCTATGTGCTGGGCACTGAGATTCGAATGAGGGCTAAGACCAGGTCCCACACTGCACCAGGCCCACACCCAAGAACCTAGCCCTGGTAGACATTGTAGAAAGATAGACCAAATGTGACAGCCACAAGACAACTCTTTCAAAATCATCATTCACAGTTTCTGATATTAAATGCTTTTTTTTGCTATTGCTGTATTTTTTTTAGAAGCAGAATGAGAGCTAGATGGAAAAATGAAGTTAAGAGAAAGCTCTGGTTTCATTAGTTGAGGTTACTTGAGGTTTTCCTGGAACTTGGATTGAAGATGGCAACCAAGTGTTTTCAACTGTTTACAATATGATTTAGGCCAGATTTACTAAAACAGTTTCACAAGAATTTTAAAATGTTGAAAGGAATTTCTAAGGAAGCTATAATCTAATCCAAGGTTTAGTCTAATTCCCAGGTCAGCTGGAAAGTTAATATGCCTAGTTTACTCAAACATCAACTTTTAGGTAATTTATCATTTTTAGCAAGAAAGGTAAAGTCTAACTCAGGCAAGTCTTTCTCTTTCTGAGTTAAATGGTGTGGGACATGTAATGGATTTCTCCTTCTGCCTAATTATTCAAGGGTAAGTCTTGTGATCTAAAAAGGAACAACGTGCTGTTGTATCCACGGTAAGGGGATTAACGGTCTTGTGCTTGTAAAACAGCAGCCCAGCACCTATTTAGTCCTTTTGATTTCCAGAAACAAGAGCCAGATTCTTGCCACTCTTTGGAAGCAATTGGCCCTGTCTGGCGCCATTGATGAAAAA